CTCACCTACATCGTCCATATAGGACGACTCGGGAACTCAACTCCTACCCCGGGCAGCTCACCGATCCCCTTATGCCCAGGGGAAAGGTATCAAGCCGTTTGACAGCAGATGCTAGCTGTCAAACCGGCTTTTACGCAAAACAGGCGGGAGGCAGCAAACAGCTGCGACCAGCGAAATCGCCTGCCACCGGAAGTCTCCCTTAGGCCACCTCTTTACGTCTGTCTTGGAAGATATTTTTTTTAAAAATATCAGAAACAAGAAATAGAGAATAAAAGAACACTTCGAACTGTTATCATGCTTTAAAATGTACAAATTGGCTATTATGCTGTATATTATGAATTTTTATGCTGAAAATGTATTAAACCCTTTACATGTAAAAATATCATCTTTGCATTTTAGCACATAAATATATATGCTAAAATTTAAAATGGATTGTAATTAAGTGGAGAGTTGTATTAATGTGTACTACAAACATGTGTTTCTTGAGAAGGTACTTAAGTCTCGTGAAATGTATTATTCTCTCATATAGTATCAAAGACTACCTTGTTTCAGATGGCTTCTAGATTCCTTTCATTCATATAGTGTACCCTCCATTGGGGGGGGGTGTACGTGTGCACATATGTCTGTCTGTTTTGTTTTACCAGCTCCATTCTTGTGTGTATTTAATTTTGCATAGACACTACTGGGTCTGCAGAACATTCCAAAGCAGTTTATCCTACAAGTGTATTATACCTTCTGCAGAATTACTGAGACAAGGTAAAAAAGTGTTTCTCTCTTGGTCCTTTTTTTTATTCCTCCTCTTCCTGTTTACAAAAGTAGGAGATTGGTGCAAAAATAGTACATAGAATTAGAATCTGGGAATTATAAATATTGAGGGTGAAGTTTGATTTCCGAGCTTGTGGGTGGGTTTCTGAATATTTCTAGATTTTTAGCATTCCTAAATTCTGAAATTGTGCAAGTTCAAATATTGTCTGGGGAATCTTAGAATGGAGCTAAAAGCTGGAATGCTAAAAGTTTGGGGCATATCCATTTTGTTCCTCATACCTTAGGGCCAAATATTTTTTTCAATTAGGCAAAGAATAAATGAGCTTAAAACTGTAGAAATCGGAAGATAGCCTGACAATCTGATATTTTATGCTTAACCGGATCATTTCTGAGTGGATTATGTTTACTTTGAGGTTAGCATTATTGTTCTTACAAATGTTAAACTAGATATACTTACAGGATACGTTATATGAATGAATGAAACTAAATCTGGGCTTAAGTTTTTCAAGCTTTTAAATCTCATACTTCATATTTCCTTTAGCTTATTAAAAATCTAATTCACCAGCAGGAAAGCATGTGTGTTATTTTAATATAAAAAAAATACAGGTATCTTGGTGGCTGAATAAAGTGGTGCGCAAACTGGGTGGCTTAGGAGACGGGCCCATGCTTAAAAAGCAAATAGGATGGAGGTCTTTTATCTGTACAGAATTGTTGCAGACCAATGTCATGGTTATCTGCAGGGCTGGAGATGCCATCCTTGGAGTGTTCTGCGTAATGGTGCTTTTGGTCCTGCAACAAATGAAAAAAGGAACCCCCGGGACCCATCCACTGGAACCCTTGCCTGTCAGAATCAGTCGATATATAATTTGGACAACAGCTACCGGTTTGTCCTGTCCTGTCCTCTTAGCAAATGTTTAATTTTCTTCTTCTTGGAAGTATCTTCTTCTTTGGAAGTATTCCATAATATTGTCATGATTATGGAATCCATCCCTATCGTTTGACTATGCAGAACTTTATTTAAGACTCTCTTCCTTTACAGCCCGTAATGCTCTTGTGGTTCTCTTTGCTGGCCTTGTGGCTTATTCTTTCCAAGTGACTGGCTCCCAGCCTTTCAGCCTCACAGGAACGATTCCCCAGGGACTCCCTCTGTTCCAGTTACCACCGTTCTCCATCATCACATCCAATCAGACTATCAGTTTTAAGGAAATGGTGCAGGTGTGTATTTCTGTTTTATTAGTTCAGTTTCTGCCTCTCTGCTTATGTCAGCCCTTCTAGATAGACCAGACTAAGAAACCAATGTCAATGTAGTTCAGAGCTACTTTTATTGTAACAGAATCTTGTAAGTCTGAATGCACTCTCCCTACCTCCTTATTACCTCTGTGTAAACTAGGGAAAGGCTTGTTTTAGAAGTTTTCTCAGTTTATTTTCTTGGCCTGGGCTCAGGCCCCTTTTCTCTGACCATTGCTTTGGTAGCAACGCTTCTTCCTGTCCTTCAAGGCCATTCTTTATGCACTCTACAGTTTGATTACAACTTTACAAATAAATACTATTAAATTGACAGCAGATTTGGTTTTAGTCACTCTCAAAAATGAAACAATAGAGTTTAAACATGTTCATCAATACCTGTTACAAAGATCTTTCCTTTTTTTTAAAAAAAACAGTCCTTATTATATTGGTCTGTTTTTTTTATATGCTGAAATAAATTGCTGTTTGCATTGTTGGGTGTAATCCACATAGAATTATTTTTCAGTTAAGGTTTTTTTTTTTTAGTAATCAGACTCTTTGTTGAAACTTAAATAATAGTAGTAGGTTAAACACTTGCATCTTAAAAGCTTTGACACTTGCATCTTAGTGCTTTTGTACTGATGGAACTTGTTAGAGTAGAGAATGTCATAATTTTGCAGCAAAAGTAAGTTTTCTACTCTTCAGTGATTCAGACTTATATAAGATATAACATGGAAGAATTTACTTGAAGGACACACAGAAATGTTTTGAATAGGTACATATTTTCTGCAGTTTATGTATATATGATGTCCTAATTATGCTAGTTGGCTTAAAGCATAAATTATTGGTTAATCTGAGAGCCAGTTTGGTCTAGTGCAGGGGTAGGCAACCTCGGCTCTTTTATGACTCATAGCTGACTCAGGAATTCTGGGAGTTGAAGTCCATGAGTCATAAAAGAGCCGAGGTTGCCTACCCTTGGTCTAGTGGTTAAGGCACCAGCCTAGAAAGAGTTCTACCCCCAACTTAGCCATAAAAGCCAGCTGGGTGACTTTGGGCCAGTCACTTTCTCTCAGCCCAACCCACCTAACAAGGTGGTTGTGCAGAAAGTAGAAGGAGAAAGGTGTGTTGGATATGTTTGCTATAAAAATAAATAATAAATCCAACAGCTTAGATTTGGACAGAGCAACTCTCAAAAGCCTAAAAGACCAAACCATCATAATCTTTGTCTGGCAGACAAAGACCAGAGAGACCAGGGTATATGGGGAGTGCACGGATAGGACCTGTTAGGAGTACCTTAAAACAGCTACATTTTCTCCTGGTCTAGAGTGGTTGCCCTCCACATTTGATGCACCATCTTGAGAAAAGACACATTTGATTTAAGATATTCCTTCCAAATCACATAATGTTCTTTGAATCCAGATTTCTGCATTCAACTCTAGGATTTACTCTATCTCTCTGTTACATTTTCTCCATTGGTGTGGGACATTCCTTTTGTGGCCATAGTTCCTTCTTCTTGAGAAGGAACTATGCAGAGAAATACAGCTTCCCTCTTCCATCCCTGCAGGCCATTGGACCTGGCTTGGCGGTGGTGCCCCTCATGGGACTGCTGGAGACGGTTGCTATTGCCAAAGCATTTGGTAGGATCATTACCTTGTTTGCACACTGAGGAGGGAGGGAGGTAAGGCAGGACTATACTTCCCTGCACACCTGACCATCTGAAATGAAACTTTACTTCTATTTGGAGATAGTAGCTTCTGGTCACAAATCACAGTAAGCCATAGTCTATTTTACAGTGGATTATTGAATAAATTTCCACAATTAGCTGGAAATGGGATGTGGTTGACTCGGAGTCACCCAGAGTTGATTATAGGATGGATGGCTATATAGGTATTTTAAATCAGTCAGTCAGTCAGTCAATCAATCACAATGCACTAAATGCGCCAAAAATTGGAGTTTGCAGTTTTGTTTTGTTTTTGAAACTCGTTGGGGAATGATTACTTCCACAACCCCAACTAGCATAGTCTGGGATATGAGATACATTGGACATTTCAAATGTATCAAAAGGATAGCAGACAATATACCGTACCTTTGGACTAAAATATGAAAATTTCCCTAGAGTAATAGTAATTCAGCATAATATGTAGCTGTTTTCTTGTCTCTTGCTGCGTTGAAGGGATAGAAACTCAACTCTGTCAGTGGAAGTATTAGGCAGAGAATCAGAAAGAGGTCTGTTACCTGAATTTATGACTGATTTTTTTTTACTCTTTATTTCTCTGGAATATACAGTTGCAAGAAAAAGTATGTGAACCCCTTGGGATAACACAGAGTTTTGCATGAATTGGTCATAAAATGTGCTCTGAACGTCATCTAAGTCACAACAATAGAAAAACACAGTCTGCTGAAAATAATAATGCACAAACATTACATGTTGCCATGGTTTAATTGAACATAACATGTAAACATTCACAGAGCAGGGA